AGAAAATGACATGTCTCTCTTGTGATTGGTTCATATCAGTTGATGTGCAAAATCGTGCAATTTAGAGCTCAAAATCGTGCAATTTATGCTGAAATCACTGCTGCAGGGAACCAATCAGATTGCAGGATTTGCTTGTGATTTCAAAATGGATGTAATAAATCATATTAATCAACACCTTGTATTGTCGCACTTCGTAATCGCACTTTGTAATACCTGTCGCAATTTGTAATAACTTTGTCGCACTTTGTAATAACTGTCGCACTTTGTAATAAACCCTGTCGCACTTTGTAAAAATAGGCGCTCGAAAAGCGCCTGTGGCTATTGCCATAAGTAATTATAGTTAAGGAATGGAGGAAGTTGGCAGCTGACTGTTGATCATGAGATATATGATGGATATATAGGCAATTTATTAGCGGTCTTGTTGAAAAAATGTAATATTGTGCAAAAAATATTGTTATGAATGTAAATAATGTTAAAAGTAAAGATTATATAGAACGAAATGTTGTTGATTTTATGAATTTTAGGGCTTAAATTAACATTCGTTTGTTTTTGTTGTAAGATATTATTATTTCGATAGGAGACACACGAGGCCGACAACTTTATTTCAAAAACGACAAGGTATAAAATACAACAGTGCAAAGTACCATAAATTGGTATAAACATTAAGGAGATACTGTCAATCCCACTATGGGGCTGAATTATCCTCCAAAGAGTCTCAATTATCCTCCTTATATTATACTCAACAAAATTACTCGACTCTGATTGGTGGAGAGGAGTACAATTATAGCGTTAATTGTACTCCGTAGGAGTACCGAATTAAGTCGCTATGGCAACACGGCCAAAACAATGTCAAAACAATTATTTTCTATCATTTTGTACTTAAAAAACATGAATAAAATTTCAACGCCGTAAGAACTAATCTTTTTTATGCATTTCAGTTGTGCGATGGACTGAAAATCGGCCGCCAAATAGACAAAAATGAACGGCGTCGCTTCGCATTTTTTACTGAAATTTTGTTGACTGAACTATAAAGTAAAAATCGCACGATCTTCTCGTACAATTTGGAATTAATAGACACTCGTAATGTTCTTAAAGTTCTTTAATTGCACTCGCCTAAAGGCTCGCGCAATTACAAGAACTTTGAAAACATTACTCGTGTCCATTAATTTCCAAATTGTACTCGAGATCGTGCGATTTCCACTACGAAGAGGCTGATATTAATTATCTGCAGATTGACTAAGGTCAGCCATGTTTGTTTCCGYTCTCTTGTCAGATGAAAATCTCGGCGTAAACATCGACCTAAAATTTGAAAAACACCTACAAAACCTTTCATTTTACCGTATAGAAATACCAAATGAAAGCTGCGATAAATATTATTGATGAATTTTATGAAAACCCTTTACTTACTTGTCTTAAACCATCTACACTATACTATCGACCAAGTAAAAGCTTGAGATCAACCACGAGGTTCCATT